ATATGAATATATCACCAGTATGTACAAACGTCCAAAATGGGATCCTAAATATACTCCATGTATGTATAATATGTCAAAATACATTTTATTGCCACATATATCTGAAAAGTACAAATAAAAAAAAAGAAAAAGAAAAAGCATATTTGTAGAGCATCATAGAATACTAATACAAATTGATCTCTGTTCTATCCAAAGGTGGCACAATTTTGTTTTGTAATTCTAAGGGTAGTAGGTGAAAAAAACAATGGGTACAATCTTTTGTAGTTATGAGTAGAAACTAAGTATCTCTTATCTGAATGCTTAGGACCACAAAGTTTTCAGATTTTGAAGATTTCTGAATATTTGCATAGACTTTTTTATCTAAACATCCCTATTCCAAATATCTGAAATTGAAATGCATCAGCATTCAGAAAGTCTCAGATTGTGGAGTAAATCATATTTTGGATTTTTGGAACAGAATTTTAATTCAGCACTGAAGAGTAAAGACAATATTTTTACATTGTTTAAAAAAACAAATATCATCAGAAGGAGTGGCACATTCCTGTAAACCCGGCTTCTAGGGAGAAGAAAGCAAATGGATCCCAAGTCAGAGGGCATCCTGCGAAACTTAGTTATATAGTCTTAAAATAAAAGGGCTAGGGACGTAGCTCAATGTTAGAGCAATTATCTAGCAAGTATGAGTCCTTGGGCCCCAATCTCTACTCCTTTTTTAATTTTCTGAGAAATTTTAAAAAATGTCTTATAATGTTTACAAGTTTACTCAGAAAAGTCACCGTCAGAAAAATCTACATATAACACTATATATGTAAGGAATGGCATATGCTAAGCATCTTCTATGCTCTTGTACCTGATTCATCTGACTCAGTATTTCTTATCTGAAATACTGTTATCTACAAGGAAACTAAGTAGTAGAGAGATTAAATGACTCAATCAAAAAGATATCTAGAAGTACAGGCACTTGGAAAGAACGCAGATTTACTTGTTTTTTTGTAAATACCTTAACAAATAGATATCTTAACTCATTATTACTTCCCATTTAAAAAAATAACTGAAAAAAGCACTTCTCTCCATTTAAAACCATCTTTCTTAAAGAAAACAAAGTAATCAATATAATATTTTCTTGTTTCTATAAAATCATACCAAAAATAAAAGTTAAGGGACAGACAAGATAGTTTTGACAAACATTGAGAAAACAGAAAATAGATGGAGGAAATAGTTATATGCTTTAAGCCAGTGTTTCTCAATGAAGAGTGATTCTGGGTTATACTAATGGGGGAGTAGAAGGTGCTACTCGCTTTAGAGGGGATGTGCTAAAAATACTATAATTCACAGGATTACCTATGACAAAAAAGAATTATCTAGCCCCAAATGAAAATAGTGTCAAGGTTAGAAAGATCTGCTGAGTTTGACTCTCTGTTTCTATGGAAGGTCAGCAAAGATTAGTTCAAAGCTACAAAAAAATGAACAGATTCCTTCCAACTTGGTACCAATACCAGGCATTTACTTCTCAGGCTAAAATATGAAGGTAAATTCTATAAATAATTTATGAAGAAAACATAATTTATGAAGAAAAAATTCCCACTTGTCCATTGGTGAAACCTAAAGTTTCCCTAGGAAAATAATCTCTCTACATGGTCATTCAAAGTGGAACCTACAGAAGAAAAAGTTTCCACCATCCACTTTATTTTAATGTCTCACTCTCAAATGACTACAAAAAGGAAAGGTCAAACCCCAAGAATCTGGGAGAATGAGACAATACGCAGAAGACAG